GTGCATTGCGAGTTTTGCTGCATCTAGTAAATATATTTAAATGCAAATATATAAACATGCATATTTAAACTGATTTTATAAAAATCCTTGCATGACCCTTACTATGATCAAATACCCTTTTCAGCGACACATGTTTTTCTATTACAAACAAGGCATTCTATTCAAGTATACTTATTAGAAAATGCACCATAATTAAGCAGTTGGTAAAATGCATTCTTTTCCACCACTTGCAGATCTCCCAAGAGTCCCTTCAAATTTACCTATACAAGTTCGAGCTTCCTGCTTGCCATTTAGCTTGATAACGACTCAAAAATCATTCCCTTGTTTTCAAGGGTCCTTCTTTCTTGTCTGCTCTGTGTACTGCAGGGCAGTATTGACACATGGAATTAATGACAGTGTCTGTAATGAAACAACCATCATACAAACACCAGTCTGCTCCTTTGATAAAATGGCATGTTGGGGACCTATTCACCTCCTTATAATTAAGCACTACATAATAGTTCCGATCCTTTCATGTAACATTATTTTGTTCTATGATTAGAAAAGAAGAAAAAAAAAAAATCTATGTAGCGTTGCCTTCTTCATTCACTCCATGATTAATTCTGCGTTTTTAATGAGTGTGGTTACTATTTAGGCAGGTTCTGTTACATACTTGTTTTGTTGACTTCTGTTCAATGTACAACAAAACCCAAGCTGTGGTAATTGGGGACCATTTCATAAGCAAAAGGATTCCTGCTATTAATACAAGGTTGGCTTGGAAAAAGCACTCTGACATTTTAAATTAGTCAATTAATATATAATTCCGCCTATCATTTATAATGGTGGAAAAACCCTTCATATATTTATCAGACATTTTAATTAATATGGAATGTTTGCAATAACATTGGATATAAACAGACAAAAAAAGTGCACAAAAGTGATTTAATGTAGCTAAATTGAGCATTTTGAAAATGTGAAAGGTTGCGTTAAATCTTTTTGAAAAGAGTGAGCAAGTTTTTGGAAGCTCAAATACATGCCTTATGACTAGATTTACAGTCACTCTCTCTCACTGCTACAACAAGATGATATACTCTATTTGTTGCAAAGAAAATCCTGATTATAAAATAAATCTGAAAAAAATTCCAGGCGCTAAAACTCTGCCCAAGTAGTTTCTAATTTTCCCCAGTACAATGAAAATGTCAAAAGTCCTCTTTTCTTATATTTAAAAGCATGAGGTATAAAAACAACTTTGCCAGGCCAAATCTGGGCAAAAAAGTTTAGTTCTTGTGAATGGAACAAAAAGCTCTTACAAAACTTAAGGACAATATATAAAACCCAACTATTTTAATTTCAAATTAGGAATGTCAAGCTTTTATTCACTTTTTCTTTTTAAATGCTTCATTCTTTTATTTCCCTTGCATGTATCCTGACACAAAGTATGTGTTCTCTCACATACTGGATGCCATCTTCATGAATTACAAAGCTTCAAATCATTTCATGTCACAACTGCAATTTAAATCATAACAACTTTATAGTTAAATTGCAGAAGCCATTTATTGAAAAAAAAAACCAAACAAAAAACATACCCCACACATTCAGAACTATTTTCCTGCTACCTGTGTATGAGAAAAGGCTGAAACATCTCTCACACACTGAAACACAAACCCCTCTCCATGGAAATTATGTTTGGATTTAAAAAAACAAAACAAAACTGGATGAATTCATATTCATCAAAACAATGAGTTCTCTCACCAAGAAGCAATTTTGCTCTCTTGTTTAGTATGGACAAATTCATTTATGCAAAATTTCCACATTGAAAATAATGAGCAACTGAAAAAAGTAGCAATGCCAATATAAACTGAACTTTAAATTAGTCGTTCTCAACCTTTTTCCTCAAGGAACCCCTTATTAGACTCAAGGCAGCTCTCCATAACTTCTGTAAATTGAGTTGTACCCCATTTCAAAAACTAATTTAATTATTACAGTGTTTACCTCCTTGCAGAGAGCCAGAAAGTAGAGGTGGGGGAGCAGCCAGGTAGATAGAGTCTGAGTCAGCCCTTATCTGTTTATCTCCTCACACTTCCTGTGGTGCCCTTCCAAGGATCTCATGGCACTCTAGGATGCCCTGGTTGAGAATCACTGCTTTAGACTAATGCCATCTTGCTTTTCCCTTGTCTACTAGAGTGCAACTACCTTTAAAAATGCCAATAAATCCCTGCATTACAAACCCATGACCTTCCTCCATCTCAAATTACAGTTTTTGTTACTTAGTGGTGCCAACTAAAAAAAAAAATTCAAATGTATCCCTGTTGCATACAATTAAACTATCATTACTAGGAATTGTTAAATAATATTAAAGTATAATACAAAATGCTAATGTAATCAAAAGGTTATGATTCACAGCACATTATAACTGTACGCAAAGACTCTGTGGCTGCTTATGAAAGTTTATAATTTTTGGCCACAATAGTGCCCTATGAACAAGAGTTTTCTTGCAAGAAAGTCAATCTATCATTAGATATCCACTTTAAAAAACAGAGCTGGGGTGGCCTGTAGTCAGATGGGTTGAATTTCCCACATTAAATCTGCAAAGGAAAACAATTTTGCCTTAAATTTTCTCATGCTTCACAGCTTTTATGAAAGTTGGCTCTGAAAGGATTATTTTTTCCATAAATCAAGGCAAATTCGATACACAGGTTTTGCCATACTACCAGGTTGGCCCATTCTAATTGTCTCCTAAAGTGGACCCCAATTAGTAAGTGCAACCTATGGGAAGGAGAGAGAGAGAGAGAGAGAGAGAGAGAGAGAGAGAGAGAGAGAGAGAGAGTCTTTCTTCCTCCCTTTTGTCTTCAGTTTCCCCTCCCGCACCCCTCAAAAGGCACCCCAAAACCTAAAATGCTTCCATTATTGGATTCTTGATGTCTTACTTCCTAGTACCAACAGGTGAAGAATGACTATAAAAAAAGAAAACAGACTTGCCAGTGATCTGCTTTAACTCTATGAGCTTCAAAGCAAAGAAAATTTAAAATGTCCTAAAACCTGAGGCTATAGTCCCAGAAGTATAATTCTACTGTAG